AATCTATCGATTAGATTAGATTTATGATAGACTTTTGAAACTACAAGAAGATAAGGAGGACTTTTACAAAAAAGTAATTGAGATTTTTGTCCAGAGGGATAGGCAAATGGACTTCATCTTCAAGTCAAGGTAACCCCCTAATCCCACCAGGAGCGTCTGCGCTGCGTTGCGCTGCGTTGCGTTGCGCTGCGGCGTTTTTAGCGATCGCGGCCACTCTAGTCAATGGGTGCTATTCCACCAGACCCGCTGCGCCCCGCTGTGCCCCGCTGCGCCGCGCTGCGCCGCGCCGCGGCTCAAAGCGTCCCAGAAGCTCCTCGCCGCAAGGAATTTCTAAAATATAGGATGAATCCTATTTTTGACGCGGCGCAGCGCGGCGCAGCGCGGCGCAGCGCGGCGCAGCGCGGCGCAGCGCGGCGCAGGCAGGAAGTGGAACGTTCATCCAACAACTGCGAGGCTGCACACACGACGCTCCGCTTCCGCAACGTTTTGAAACGTGCCTGGTGGGTTATGACGCAGGAGGAGGTCGCAGGAGGAGGTCGCAGGAGGAGGTCGCAGCGCGGCGCAGACGCTTCCGGTGGGATCAGGGGGTTAGACCACAATTTTATTGAAAATGGGATCTTACTAAGAGAGAACAATTCAATATTTAAAGTTTTCTTCAAGGTTGTGTGTTTTCTTCAAGGTTGTGTCTTCCTGGTCGAATGTACTTATTGTAAGTCGCTTTGGATAAAAGCGTCAGCTAAATGCAATGTAAAAAATCAGCCTTTTTTTCTAAGAGTATTTGCGTGTGGCTATTCCGATGGGATTTGAACAGAACACTGAGAAGGGGGAGGAGCTAAAAGGACCGATTATATATCCTTTGAGAAGTTCTTTGTCGATGAGCTGGGAAACTATGTTGGGTTCTTTAGCGGCTGACTGTAAGTTTCTTGCTACAAAAGTCACTGTGGGAGATGAGAGGACCCCTATCCTGAAGCCTTGGGGAGCCCTGACAGGAGATAGTCAACAAACACGGAATCTGGGTGAGTAGATAGCGCAGCTGCTAGCTGAGGGATGTTAATGGGAGTGGAGGGGTCATATTTCAAAATGTTTTTCCACCACGAGGTTTCTGGCGCAGAGCTACTGTGAGGCTGTGGCTGCGTCTGGGGCAAACGGACTTCGGGTGTGCATCCCTGTAGGAACTGCAGATATGAAGAAATGTATGGTAAGGGTGAGTGCAAACATTTTCATTAAAACTAGTACAAATCCTATCTTCGTGTCTAATCTGCACCTGGCGCGCGGAGAAAGGCACTGAGGGGCAGAGGGGAGCGATATGGCCCTGCGCTCCGCAGCTGTTGCATGAGATAGCAGATTGGCCGCTGGTGGCCATCACGAGCAGCTCAATGTCCATCACTGACCAATCCAGGCGGATATTGCTATGTGCTAGGTGGAGTGCTGCTTTGCTTGAAAAGCTTTTGTGGTACTGATAGAAGACAGATTTCCCGTATCTAATGTTAATGTCGCCGATAATGGCCATGTACGCATCTAATTCTACTCTTCTCTCAGGGTAGACGGAGCAGAGAACATCACGGAAGATGCCGAAAGCGACCATAAATTGCCCTAAGCTGATATCTCTGATAAGCCTGGGGTCTGCGGCCTTAAAGACGGCGGTGATATTTCCTGCTGTGGCGATGGCTTTATCGCACTCCGGGGAGGGCAGAATAAGGCTAAGCAGATTAACATCCTTCCCTTAAAGAATTTTCGACCTAAGCCGTGAGGAGATGTTGGCGGCTTGGGAAATAAAAGGCCTACCTGAAGGGGGGGCTGGGAGGGCCGAAGCCAGAGAATAAGGGGGAGCTACTGCTGGAATGCGTGGAACACCCTGACCCGGCAACCCCGGCGGGACTGAGGCAGAAAACGCTGCTCTAAGTGCAACGGAAGTTGAAGCTCCTGTGACGGAGTCTTCCAGGGCCTGGAGGCGAGCATTGATAGCTATCATGGAGCTAGCCAGGGATTGCAGGGAGCCGGCCACGCTACTCTCCATAAGGGGCGTGTTAGTGACACTTGTTGTGAGTCTTGAGGTTTTTACAACCCAACTCGGCTCCACGTGTCGTTTTGGCGAGTCCTGCTTAAAATCATAACAGGAAGGAAATCAGAAGACACCAGGATACCAGTTAAACAATAATCTGTTTTAATTATAAAAGGTAATAATGCAATGCAATATAATACAATACAATATAATATAATATAATATAATGTAATGTAAGGAGTACTCCTGCCCTGGTTCGCGTGCTGCTTAGATCCTTCTTGGCAGCCCGAGAAGAGAGAGCGAACACACAAAAACAGACAGGAGATGCAGAGGTACCATGGGGAGGAGCCGGGCGAGATTCTCCTCCCACAGAGCCCATCCTGCAGCATCTCAGAAAATGCAGTTGGGTCTAAAGAATATTCCCTTGTTCACAAAGATATATATACAAAGGTTTAATCTTCTCATATTTCCAGCTCCTGGTTACATAGTGGCTTATTATTAATACAAAGTAATTAAACACACACATCTACTATTCAAGATATGTATACTTCCCTTGGTGGAGATTTTAAGAAGAATGTTTTCCTCCCCTCCCTCTCTAGTCTTCTGTCATGACCGAGTAATTAAACATGTTTAAGCCAATTATTTCACAATATTTGTAGCAATTTAGTCCTCACATTTTATGAAAGAATAAAGCAGAGAAGTCAATAGAACACAAACTCAGGTATTGTTTGAGCAGTATTCACATATCTGCTCAAGTAGCCTTATTCTGCATATCTTTAACACACACATATCTTTATCATTAACATAAATTGATTGTTCCTTTTAGCTTAAGGGCTTCTGTGAACTTCCTTTCACCTCGAAGTCCGCGTTTACTGGAATGAATGCATTCATTGACAATTCAGACTGACTATTGTCTCTCTTAACTGTGTGACTCAATTATCAAGGCCTGCAGGATGCGCATCATTAACTTAAGAAGAATTTAACCATTATATCTGGGGAAAATGTCCCTCTCAGTTCCCTTGTTAATTTGCAAAGAACATTAATGATTAACCAAGACCCCTATAGATCATGGCCTCTAACTGCAACAAGACTTTCTGAAAAAACACTCAACGGGTAATCTTTTCACTCAAAACAGAACTCACAAGTAATTCTGCATTTTACCTCCTCAAAAATAGCCAAAAAACACCCTTTTGATTATACATACAAGTGGAAGAAAAAGACTATTGCGCTAATCTACTTTTAAGAAAAAGGGAACATTTGTTTGATTATATAAAAAACCTCTCTATATTTAAGAGGAAAAATGTACTTTGTTCCTTCAACTATTAACACACAGGAATGTATAAAACCACACATATATTTAGTGATAACATGATGCAACACACCTCTTATATATCAGGTGTCATTAAAATGAATATACCAAAAATACGCTGTATCAAACTTTCTGCATAATACTTTACATCAATTTCCACACACTCCCGGCCTGGCGAGCCTGGGAAGGGGTGGATTTTGGAGGCGGGCGGGATCCTGGAGGGCTCGACTTCCTGCCCTTTTTACCTCCGCGGCTGCGGCCGCGTCCTCGCCCTGATCTCTCTGGGGAGCTGACTGGAGCTGCTGCCCCGGACTGGGGAGCTACGCTGAGCTCTCGGAGCTGAGAGAGAGTGAGGCCTGGGGCTGTGGGAATGCCCGGCTGCAGGAGCTGGGCGATGAGGAAGTCTGCCTCTGTTGATAAGCCGCTGGGGGGAGCCGACCCGGGATCGAAGACTTCCAGAGGAGGTTCGTGTTCCGAATTGTCTGAGTTGGACATCTTGAGCTAATTGTTTCTTACGGTTTTTCTCACGAGGAGGAGTATTGTAGTACTACCATGGCGTGTGGTCACCTGAAATGACAACTGACAGGAAGGAAGAGCAGGCATTTAAGGAATTTAACATGTGCAGCAATTGGCTGCTGAGGGGTGACGCCCACACATTTAATGAGGGGGGAGAGAGCAATAGAGTGACGTGTAAGTGACTCATTGTTAGGTCTTCCTTATTGAACTTGCGCTAAAGCTTTCATATGTCTGGCCGTCGATGAGCGTCCTGTCGCCCTACTCAGATTGATGTGTCCCGCACCGTTGTGTCTTTTCGGCGATGCTGACACCTTCCGCTGATTGGAACTCTGATTGGCTGTTCAGCTTAGCGAATCAGTGCATGAGAAGCGAAACGGAAGTGAAAAGGCACACACAGACGGCTATTATTTTTCATTTTCATCTCACCTGGACGCAAGAATTTATTTTACATCATGGCGATCTGGAATGAAGAAACCGAAGACCAACTCAGTTGCCACGTAATTTGCTGCCACACTTCCTGCATGAGGTGGACAATAGCTTCTTCAAGTATTTAACGGACAGGATGTGGCTATTTCTTTTTTTATTGTAGGGCTATTACTTACTATTTTTATTTCATATAGGGGTAGTGGTGGTCTAATGGATAGTGAGCTGCGCCAAAGCTGGGGAACAATAGTCTTGCAAGGGGGGGGAAGAAAGGAGAAGAAGGGGGAAGAAGAAAAAAGAGGGAGAAAGAGAGGAAAAAGAGGAGAAAAAACGATTCTCTTGCTCCCTGTTTCTCTTCTGCATGTAAAAGTATTTATATACAGAAGTACTTTAATAAAGACCAACAACGTATGCGTTTTTTGACTAATAACACTTGTGTTATGCAGTTAACTATTAACACATTTCTATTAAATATTATATATTTCTAATAAATATTAAGTAAAACGTATCTACTTCTTTCAAGTTTATTACATACAATTATTATTATTTTCTTTATCAGGGATAGTTTTGAAGTACCCAATATTGACCTGCTCATGGTTTGTGTGCTGTGGACAAATACTTAAATGTAACCATTACATTTAATATGAACTAAGAAGGTATTGGTGTTATAATGTATTTCTTTTAACAAACAAAGAGAAAACCTATAGAAATTCTAAACATAGCACTCCACTCAATTATTGGACAGTCACGTACTTGATAGAACCAAACCTTTATTTTAAAGTACTGTAGTTCAACTTAATAAAATGTAAAACAACCCATACAAGTAAGTAAGGTGCAGTATAACAAAATAACACTCTAAATGGGTTTTAACATCAAATAAACATTATCATAAACTTAATAAAATATATACATATCATATATATAAATAAATATCAAACTATACACCGAACTATATACATAAATAAGTGTCCAGTGTCCATGCCTCTGGTGGGGGGATATACATTTTGTTATGTCCTCCAACCATTGCTCCTTTGGCACAATGTAGTTCACTACTCCCTGCACTGGCTGTGTCCAGTGTCCGCTGTCCCAAAGCTCCCACACCTCCACACGTGTTGGGCAGTACTTTGCGGGTCAGTGTTTGGCTGTATGGAGCAGGAGCAGGACTAGGAGCAGGAAAAGCAGAGAGAGGCTGGCATTCAGAGCCTGTGGAGCAGTGACCAGGACAGGAACCTGTGAGCTCACTGGAGTAAATATCATGGAGCCCAAAGGTGGAGCAGGGAAGAGCTGCATCTCCACCTGAGGGCCAGAGGGTGGAGCAGGGAAGAGCTGCAACACCACCTGAGGGCCTGAGGGTGGAGCAGGGAAGAGCTGCATCTCCACCTGAGGGCCAGAGGGTGGAGCAGGGAAGAGCTGCAACACCACCTGAGGGCCAGAGGGTGGAGCAGGGAAGAGCTGCAACACCACCTGAGGGCCTGAGGGTGGAGCAGGGAAGAGCTGCATCTCCACCTGAGGGCCAGAGGGTGGAGCAGGGAAGAGCTGCAACACCACCTGAGGGCCTGAGGGTGGAGCAGGGAAGAGCTGCAACACCACCTGAGGGCCTGAGGGTGGAGCAGGGAAGAGCTGCATCTCCACCTGAGGGCCAGAGGGTGGAGCAGGGAAGAGCTGCATCTCCACCTGAGGGCCAGAGGGTGGAGCAGGGAAGAGCTGCATCTCCACCTTGCTTTGATGCTTTGTGATCTGGAATGTGACAACAGCGAAGTTGAGGCATTTATTAGAAATGATCTATAGCAGTTAATGTTTCCAGATTTATAACCGAACACATTTATAATAAAAACTAGTTTGTAATGTTATTGTTTATAAGAGAGTTTAACAAACACGGAAACAAATACAGTCACGTTATGTTTGACCTTTTTGGTTGAGTCCATCTTTAAGATGGAACCAAATGTGGAGGTGATGCTGGCCTTGATATGGTCCATGTGGGAGAGGATATCCCTGCCGTACATGGACAGCACCCAGAGACTGCTTGGGAGGAGGCTGGGCTCTGGGGGCTCCTGGCAGGCCACAGGGAGGAGGCTGGGCTCTGGGGGTAACTACTGGGGGTGTGATATAAAATGTATGCATGAGGCATTTCTTAATCTGAAACTATCATCATTATGTTTTAGTCTGGAGTGAGTCACTCAGTGTAAATCCTTTGATTGATAATATTTGCACCAGTAAATTGTAAATGTTCAGTAATATACTTATCATATGTGAATAATAAGTAATAGGTACATATGTTTCTATACTTTACCTTCTGACAGAGGTCACGTCACTTCCGTTTCCTTGGAGCGGGTTTATCCCTCCTGAAGGCCAAAGCCTGTCCATTCTGCATCTCCCATTTCGTTATGGCTTATAGGTTTAGTGATCATCTAAACTTTAAGTAAAATAACAATGCAAGTGTTAGAGAGAACTACACTGCAAAGCGAACAACACTGATACCATGTTAACCATTATTTACACAGGTTATCTACACATATAATCATGTTCATAAACGGTGAAGTTGTCCTTTTATCCATATATGATTGATGTGTGTATATTGAATTACAATTAATGTAAAGTTATATACAGTATATAGCTATCTTGAATATATATTCAACAATATACTGTATCCTTCCTGGAGCATATAACACACTTTATCATATCATATAGTGAGCAACGATCCCTTATCTCACATAAAGATATTTATATCATATAATATATGATATACTTTACTTTACTTTATGAACAAATAAACTGAAAAACATAAACTCATAAAACGCCACCAGTAACCAATAGGCATCTTAACCAAATCTGTAAAGTAACTAAAGGTAAGCTATTAAACACATGTAGTGGAGTAAAAGTACACCATTTACCTCTGAATTGTAGTGAAGTAGAAGAGTACACAGTAGAAAAATATGGAAACACTCAAGTGAAGTACAAGTATCTCAAAATACAGTACTTGAGTAAATGTTCTTAGCTACTTCCCACCTCTGTGTATACAGTATATATGCTGTATGACTTCTGTACCACTGCTCACAGAAGTGTAGTTACTAATTACAACATGCCCATTCATACAAGAGTCGTTTAACAACTTATTTAAATTACTGTTGTCAATCGGATGGAACACATGGCTGTTGACATTGATTAATATAATAACGTGTATTTAACCCTAGACACGATAGCATTAGCAATGCTGGCTTGCTAACTTTATGCAGACTGAAGTTGCCGACCGTAATGTAAAAGTTGACGCCAAAACGACGGTTGTAAAAATTGATTTTATGACTGAAAACGGGAAAATATAAACAATAGTATTGTTACTTACCTCTGATGCGCCTCGCGATTTGTCCACTGTCAACCAAAAGCGTGAGGGGGGCGGGTTCGGGTAGAAGCAGTGCCGTGAGTGGCTCTGTCCATTGTGATCCCATGACGTGATTGGCTCCGTCCATTGTGAACTCGCGTCGTGATTGGTTTAGGTCCAATCTACAATGGACAGCGAGTATCATGATTGGGTGATAGATTGGATTTTGACAGACGGTCCTGCGCCAGCTAGGGCTGAAGTTCGGAAGGTTGTGTGTTCAAATCCCGCCTGGAACACCACCACTAGTGTGCCCTTGAGTAAGGCACTAGTTACTTGTGGAGTCTATTTTTATATAACATTACAAGACTGATTCTTATTATTACATTATATGCTTATTGTGCTCATGAGATTGCTATGACTATAGAATAAATAGACACAATCACTAATCCCAGGTTCTGATGGGTTAGATACCAACGAGGGGAATAGTCAGAAGAAAGTTTTAGCTTGCAATAGAAAGTAGCAGAAGCCAGATGCAGGCACTGTAGAAACAATTGAGTTATTGAGGCTATGGCCTTGGCCGCCTGGGTTAGCTCCGCGCCCACGCATAGCTGGGAATCAGTATAACCAAGATTCCACTTTTCTGTAGAAGCTTCATCAAAACAAATTACGTATGATGGTGCCAGAGTAGGGAGGGACTTCCACAGGCCGGCCGAATGCTGATTGGAGGATTGTGTTGCCAAGAGACTCTATCTGAGTCTGCGCACCAACCAAAGAGAACCAAGTCTAAACCATGGTATCTCTTCTGCTAGTCTTGACCAATCAAAACATTTACGGGCAACGCCCTGAGTAATAAAATGTATTGTCGCACGAGGTTCGATGCTCTTGACGGATTTGGTGGTTACAGATTACAGCTTTGCTGCCTGTGATTCCCAAAGACGTCATGAGTCCTTGGCCAAGTAATATATATATTGTTTTCTCTTTACAACAAATAGTTAAACTTAGAAGTTGTCTGTCTTTTCTGGAATTCTGAACCCAACATACTCCAGGGAGAATGTCCCTGTAATTGCAAGTCGCTTTGGATAAAAGCGTCAGCCAAATGTAATGTAATATATTTTAGTCGATTGTTTACATTGTACAGTTCTACATTTGATAATAAACCACTTTTTACCGCTACTGAAAAATACAAAACTTTATTTCGTACCTTCATACTACAGCCATTAGATAACACAACATTAGAATGAGGATACAATTAGCTATACTACAATAAAAGTCAGAAGATACAGATGTACATAATGATACATCATTTGCCTGTCAGTGTTATGATGTTGTATATTAATATAATCTTGGATTATAATTACTGATGCATGGAATGTGGTAGCAGCAGTACTTTAAGGTTGCCAGCCACAATGCTTAAATAATGTATTTCTGCTTCAGAGAGCTGAAGTTTGTATTGAAGTAAAGTGTTATAGCAGAAAGTTTAAAACAGCGTATTTCTGGTATATTCATTTTAATGTCACCTGATGTATAAGATGTGTGTTAAATTTGAATGGAGGGGAGGAGACATTCTTCATTACACACAGCATGTAAAGTATCAGGGAAGTCTACATGTCTTAAATATATGTGTGTGTTTAATTACTTTGTATCAATAATGTCAGTCTGTGTAACAAGAAGCTGGAAATAGGAGAAGTGAAACCTTTGTATTTGGAGTAGTGGAGCCACAGCTCAAATCTCTGGAATGCTGCAGGATAAAATGAGTGTGCGTTACACATGCTAAGGGAAATGAGTGTGCGTTCTCTATATATGTTTATGTAAAGTTCTACTATTTCACTGCTTGAGAGCAGAGGTAATGTTTTCCTCGTTATTATTGATATTAAGGTAATTTACATGTGTTGCTTGTATTGGCCAACTATAAACAACTATATTTTAGACATATCTTAAAAGAGGCCAAGAGTATGTGAGACAGTGTGGGTTGAACTGATGGGGGAGGGGGAGCAGAGAGGGAACTCTATGCAAGAAGGGGGGTGTGTGTCCAAACTGCAAGAATGTGAGACAGCGAACACCAGATTGTTTTGCCCTCAAACTGAAGAGACTCTTTTTCTGGGCTGCCTCCTGGCTGGCTCGCGCTGATTCGCTACAACAGCCCATTGTTTTTATATCTCCCAATGGATGGGCCCTATGGGAGGAGCACCCAACACAACTCCTCCCCGTTGTTCTTACATGTATGCTGTTGTGTGTTTTGTTCTGCCTCTTTTCCCTCATGCCGTCAAGATGGTAAGTTCTCCCGGCATTGGGAACAGAGCAGGGGTGCCCCCTTTAAAGTGTATTATATTGTTGTTTACCATTAAAGCAGATTATTGTTTAACCCTTTATCTGGTGCTTTGAATTCCTTCAGTATGGAGATGCGAAGTCACGCCCATCTACTTCCGGACCATGGGACCCCGGAAGCGAAAAATTTACATTGAATTCAATGGAGAGAGAACACGTATCTTTTGATCCCGTTTGAATTGTGCCACGAACTACACATATGATGTTTGTCAATCTTAAACAATCATTTCCATGTCAAAAAAGTCACATTTTGTCGTAAAACTGCTGAAATATAAGACTATGAAAAATACGCTACTACAAAGACTACAAATCCCAAATCCCATTCTGGGTCGCGTAAGTGATGTCACAGGCATGCTCGGTGATTTATAATAAGACTCGTAATTAAAGCGAAGAAGAAGAATATCTCATAACTGATTTATTCCCTCCAATAAATTATAGATCGCTAAAAATAAATTCACTTTTACAAGATGCCTGTGTGCTTTGTACCAGGTTGTAGTCATAAAAGTGATCATACCACTTGCTCCTTCTATCGATTCCCGTCTGATGAAAGGACCAGGAGTCGCTGGATCAGACATATCAGGTAATATCATAGGTAATATACATGTTGTGCATGGAACATAGTCAAGTTAGCTACCTAGCTAGTAGCGACGAGTAGCGAGCACGTTAGTTAGCATTACATTACTTAGCCTTGTCATTTTTAGTAGCCTTACCATTAAGTTATTATTTTATTACATGAAGTAAACCAAAATGTTAAACAGTAACCAAACATGATGGTAAGTATTTCGTGAAACTTTTGAAGAGTAGCCTACGGCGCCCTCCACCGGGTGCTAAGGAAGCAGTTCAGGGAGAGTCGAAGGCAGGCATGGAGCTTTGCATGACATTATTCTGGACGTGTTTCATTGTGATGACAATCTGTTTGTTGGAAAGAAAGTCGTTGTGTGCTTATTGAGAGAACATTTTTAGAAGAGATAATTATTCAAAGTGTTGTTACTTTAAAGTGTTGTTACTGACCTTTTTCTCTTTTATTTTCTTTACCTCACCTGTAACTGCTGAGACGTTGAGGAACATGCACACTGACCTGCTCTGGCAACCTGATTTCCACTGTACGTAATAGTATTTGGTTATGGTATATTATTTATATACATCAAAGGCACAATGCACCCCCCAGAGACACACATGTATTGAGTGTGATATTTTGCATAGGTCATGTGAAATCATCTTTACATACTAGAAAACTGTAGGAGCGGCAACTTGTTTTGAAATTGAATTTTTAATATCCGATAATAAAGTTGATCTGTTTTCTTTATTCTTCTCTCTTCCCAGCTCCATCACCATTCTCTGTTCCTGCAGGTCCTGCTTGCTAATCAATGCTCATATTTTTTTACACAATTACAAATAAAGTCATTGCATTGTATGACATGAAGTTGTGCTTCATTCGGAGTCAATAATAAATTCATTCTGCCTTCAACTGCGCAATGATTGTGGACTGCACCGACATCCATGTAGCTGCCCCCCAGTAAGATGAACCAAGCAAAGAGGGTCCCCATCATGCCCAAGGACATCCAGCTGGCCCGCCGCATCCGCGGAGAGAGGGCTTAGTCTGACCTGAGACCAGCACACCCAAACACAACAGCTCTTTTAAGAACCACATACATTTTCAAAGAGTTGCAATCCTACGTTATTATAATGATTAAACTGGTTCATGTATCACTGAGTTTACTAAACCGTGATGAATGAAATAAATTAGTGAGGTAGTGGTTTACTGAAGTTACAAAGACATTAATATATGAGTAACAGGTCAGTGTAAACACAAGCTTCTGTCAATTATGGATCATTCAAACTATGTATATACAAATATGTAATAAAGTTCTAAAACAAGTATTCGGTATATTCCTTGATAGCTTTTGGAGAAGGTTGTTTTTAAGTTTACTAAAATCTATCGTTTCAACTGTTTCACTTTATAAAAAGGGAACAGGTGAGTAGAGCATCATTGAGTTTCTTATTCTGTCAGTAAATTATCCAAATGAATGTTTTTCATTATTTTAGTCAACCCTAAACAAATTGATTGTACCTTTTAATGATGACCTTACATGGTCGGCAAAGTTAAATTAACTTCAGAAAATCAAATCTGTTCTGAGAAAAAACTAATAAATGTTTAAAGATAGGAACTTGCCATCCCACTGAAAAACAGTCCGTAGAGATTTAAAGGCGTAGTTGTAGTTCAGTCCAACGTTTCATTTGGATTCATTTGACAACAGTCAACTATTTTCATAAAGAATATATATATTTTTCAAAGTCAACTTTATTTTCAATCTTACTCAGTTTGAGAGATCAAAAAGACGTTTAAATAAAATTATACAATTTACAGATATGTATACAAATATATATATCCTATATACACCATCATGTATAATGATGGTGTATGATGTAGAAGGAAGTGTGGTAGATAACAAGTAAATATAGAGTTACATACAGATCCATGTTACAGCA